CAGATTGTCAAGGAGGAGCGGTCTCACAAGAAGGGGTGTGAAGCTTCAGGCCCCCAACAATCAGCACCGCACTCTCCCGAGTGAGCCACGGGCTGGCCCAAAAGTAACAAATTTAATTTAATGGAAATAGCTTAGAATGAGAGTGTTCTAGCTTAGAGTGGTACTTTCAGGTTAGTGAGACTATAAATTTACATGCTTCTACAGTAAATGGTCCTAGGCTTTTTAAAATTCATTTGTCTGGGCCGGTCCGTGGCTCACTCGGGAGAGTGCGGTGCTGATGATAAAATTCATTTGTCTGCTTTTTCTATAGTTTGTTTTTTCTCCTTTCCATATCTCTTCAACTGGGCTCGCAGTTAGCTCAGTTGGTTAGAGCACAGCCTTGTAACAAACATCAAGGTCAAGGACTCAGATCTCCAAACTCACCAGCCTCAAAAAAAAAAAAAGAGAGGAAGAGAGAATCCATATCTCTTCAACACTGTTAGTGAGCTGCTTATAGCAGCCCTTCTTTACTAATTCTGTTTCTACTCTGTTGTAGGCTTTGCTTTTGTCTAGGAGGAAGTAGAATAAGAAAGGACCTCATGGATTCTTCTGTGACCAAGAACAAGTTAATATGTGCATGGCTGCTCTAGTTGCATTTTTTTTTTTCTGTGCTTTATTTTACTAATATCTGAGTTGACAAGAGGGAGGCCATGCACAGTGTTGCTGCTTGTTATTTGAAGGTGATGATGATACACTACTTCTAAAAGCATTTACTAAATTCCTATGATATGCATAATGCTAGATACTTTATATACATTTTAGCCCTGCAGGTGTAATATATTTTCCCCATTTTACAGATGAGGAAATTGAGGCCCAGTGGGGTTTTAAATTTCGCCAAAGCTCACTTAGTAAGTAGTAAAGCCAGGATTCAAACCCAGTTTCATCTGACTTCAAATCCAGTGTTCTTTTCATACCAGGACAGGCTTTTTTCAAGCTCAACCCTGAAATCTGTATGGTTGAAAGACTGGTCTAGCTCTAAGAAGCATGAACTGCATTGGCAATGGGTATTGGGCCTTTCTCATGTCGAAGTGTGTGTTTACTAAAAGTTGAGTCTCTGTTTTTAATGTATTTTGATAAAATTCTGTGAATATTAAGCTCTGGAAAGTTTCCCAAGCTAGTACAACAGTGTAGGTAATAGGTGAAACGTACGTAAGGAAACCCCACCCCAGTCATTATTTCCCCTTTCCAGAGTCCCTTCTCAATAACGTCACTCACTTAATGTGCTTCCAGTGAGTAGCGCCGGGTCAAAACAGCTGCCAAAGACCATCTGCTTAACTCTGAAATAATCAGAAGCATTCTGAAGCCTGTTGAATATAGTCTCTCTCTCTTCACCCATATAATTGTGCCATGACTGACACAGTATTCCTTCAGCACCCACGAGCACTTAATACAGGAAGCCACTGTAGCAGAGTTTGGATCTGAACTCCTCCACCTCAATCTTTGACTAGTAACTAGATGTTTAGTCTTTGAGCTTTGTATTGGGCTCTCAGATAAAAATGAGATATATATTGGGGGGAGGTAGGCGATAAGGTTTAGAAATTTTTTTTAGGGCCAGCCCGTGGCTCACTCAGGAGAGTGCGGTGCTGATAACACTAAGGCCCCGGGTTCGGATCCTATATAGGGATGGCTGGTTAGCTCACTGGCTGAGCGTGGTGCTGACAACACCAAGTCAAGGGTTAAGATCCCCTTACCGGGAAGTTTTTTTTTAGTAGGGCTGGTCCATGGCTCACTTGGGAGAGTGTGGTGCCGATAACACCAAGGCCACGGGTTCGGATCCCTATATAGGGATGTCTGGTTTGCTCATTTGGGGGAGCGTGGTGCTGACAACATCAAGTCAAGGGTTAAGATCCCCTTACTAGTCATCTTTTAAAAAAAAAAGAAACTTAGCCCCACTGACTCTTAAGAGGGTGGGAAATCCTATTATCGTGATTGAAAGATGGAGCCTTGAAGAGGTGACTGGATTGTAGGACTGTGCAGTAGTGAATGGATTAAAAATGGTGGTCAGGCATGGTTCTGAGGGTTTTAAAAGAAGAGAAACACCAAACCCGTGGCCTTGGTGTTATCAGCACCACACTCTCCCAAGTGAGCCACGGGCCGGCCCTGGGGCTAAGTTTCTAATACATAAAACTTGAGAGACACAAATCAAGCTTCAGGGAGTTTTGGGAGGACATAATTCAATCTACTACAGATATATAGTTTAATCTTATTTACAGATGAGTACACTAAAGCCCAGAAAGATAAAGTGACTTTTGCCAGGTCACACAGTAAAATGGTTTCACATATATTTAATTGGGTGCTAAAAACTGAATACTAGTCCCGTTCCCATAGTGGGTGTAATATATTGATGGGCTACCAAGGGAGAAAGTTCAGCTGTGGCAAAATGCATTGAAAATAAGAAAAAGCTAGGAAAACGT